GCCCCGACAAATGAGCCCTCGACAGTTGAGCCTACCGACAGTTGAGCTCCCGACAAATGAGCTCCCGACATTTGAGCCTCAGAAAATTGAAATTTCATCGATTAAATATAGAACACACGAAATTATTATTGAATCGCTTAATTCACTTGAAACTAGTGCACGGAAACATGAGACATCTTTCCATGGTACTGATGGCTCGTCGATATATTTTTCGTGGCTAAGTCAATCATCTGTACAGAAATGAACAAGTTTTTCGAACAATATTTCTGTGACTCATAAAGTTTTTATCATTCTTGGTATATTTTTCTATTATCGTTAACAATGTCAATCGTGAAATCTTCAAAAAACAAGGATCAACTTTTACTTAGTGGTTATCATTATCGTCGTGCAAATAAATCTCAAATTATTTGGCGTTGTTGTCGAAATGACTGTCCTGGTCGTGTACGTTTTGATGGAACAGGTTATATTAAAGTTACGGATCATCTTCATGCACCAAATCCTGAAGAAACAATATCAGTGGAATTCAAATCAAATATCAGTTCTGGTGCAAAAATATCGCATGATCCACCACGACGTATTATTCATCAGGCTTTATTAAATTTTTTTTAATATGAGGCTCAAGTGTCGGGAGCTCATTTGTCGGAAGCTCAACTGTCGGTAGGCTCAACTGTCGGTAGGCTCAACTGTCGAGGGCTCATTTGTCGGGGCTCAACTGTCGGGGCTCATCTGTCGGGAGCTCAACTGTCGGATCACGGAATAAAACCTATACGGATACGATAGCTACCTTATAAGATCCAAGCATCCGAGAAAATCCAACCGAATTCGTGGCAACGAATCTACTCAGGGATCCTTACTATTGGAATCTGATCGGATTCTATAGAGATCCGATAGGATTCGATGATCGAAAAGGAATTGTGTCCCAGTATTTTAATCTATTATTGATTAAATAATACTAGAATACAATACTGCAGTAGAATCTTTCCAATGATTGAATCCTATCGGATCTTACTGTAGAATCCGATCAGATTTCATCAGATCCAACACAAAGGATCCCTGAGTAGATTCGTTGCTAGGAACCCTAGCGGATTTTGAGAGAATTCTGTGAGACTCCGATCGGTTTCGTATCGGATACGATGAGGTCCGACCATCGAACTTAGTCACGTGGGTAGTAGTCTACGTGATAATGGTTTGGGTACAGTTAACGCAGAATATTTTGAGGGAAGCTAAAAATTCAACTAATCGTGGATCTTTGATTAACATATGATTGTCATTGAGATCGACTGTAAGAAGTTTAACGAAGTTTCCATACTTGTTTTTAATAATAGTATTGATTCGTAAGTTTGAAAAACAACATTGACAAGCAAGTATATTTTTTGGTCTATTTGCTAAGGCAGCTGATTGTCTTGATAAAAGTGATGAAGCTACTTCAAGGATTAGTGATGATGGAAGAGTATGGCTGATTGTATTTAAAACATTGCTCCAACGGTCTCAGTCTTTTCCATACACTGTAAAAAAATCCGTAGAATAATAAACCCTTAAGGGTTTATGAAAGTGCAACCAAACACAAACCCTTTTTCCGTATGTGAAAATTTTCCTAAAACCTTGAAGGGTTTAAGAAACTTTTCACATACGGAAAAAGGGTTTGTGTTTGGTTGCACTTTCATAAACCCTTAAGGATTTATTATTCTACGGATTTTTTTTACAGTGTAGCCATCGGAGTGTCGTCGAAAAAAGATAAATTTTGTTTGGTGATTAATTGAGAACGTTGGAAGATGTTGGACTGATGTTCGGCAATAATCTTCATAATACGAATAAGAATCATTGGTAACAGTTGCAGGGGTGAAGCGTTCCCGTTCTGTTCTTAGGAAAGAAGCGCGAGTACCGTTCCACGTTCCGGGAACGGGGAACGCGAATGAAAATGTGGCGACCCTATTTCGTTCATAGCATGGCAAATGGCAACTAGAGTTCCAGTTTCTAGAAAAGAGAAAATCAAGTACCGTTCCCGTTCCCGGAACGGGGAACGCGAGTACCGTTCCCCGTTCTCGAAACGGGGAACGGAATACTACTTTTGCAGAAGCAGATGACCGAACATGTATACGCGACTCGATATGTTGGAGGAATGCCAAGGGGGAAACAGCGGACTTCAGAACTTCAAGCACAGAGACTTCAAAATTTTTCAAAGACTTCACGAGACTTCACGAGACTTCATGAGGCTTCAGAAGACTTCAAACAGACTTCACGGGACTTCAAGAGACTTCATGGCACCTTAAGGGGGGGGCCCCCCTTAGAAAATCCAATTTTTCAGAGATAAGCCGAAATTGAAGTTTTATCATAGGAAGATGCAATGAAGTCTCCTCTTTCAGAATATCTATGGTTTATTGCAAAATGAATTGATTTTGACGAACTTATCGCCTAAAACTTGGCTTCTACTATCACATTTTTCGAGAAATTTTCATGGTGTTTTTTCAAGGTTTTTTTGACTTTTTAGGCTCCTTTCTCTTTGCATCAGCATTTCGTAAGGTCTTTTTTTATACTAATCACTATGAAACTATTAAAACATAATATTAAGATCACATATTTATGGCCTGTCTTGAACGCTGATATATAAATCAAGTTATTTTCGGAAAAATCGCTTTCTAATACTTATTTTTCGTTTTTCTCAAAATTAGGTTTTTCGTCATGTAATTTACGCGGGCAGGTTTTTCTCCATAACGACTCGATATGGAAGTGATAATTTTTTTTTATTATATAGGAGACATGTAGGGCTAGGACTTAACAGGCTCCGATTTTAAAAATTGTCTTTTACTGAAATAAAATATATGGATATTTCATTTCTATGAGCACTTCGAATTCGAATATTTTTCGAAAAATGTTTTTTAAAAATCAAATAAAGGGAAATTCAAAAATCGGAGCCTGTTAAGTCCTAGCCATAAGGGTACTCTACAATTTGAAAACCGTCCAAGCTTGTTAGCTCGTATCCTTATTGCAAAATCCTTGCCCGCGTAAAGGGTAATGAATTGACTAGAACTTGTGCATTTCTTCGCGATTTGGGGGAGATATTTTAACCATAAGCTATTCTAGTCAAGACTAACATTCTCTGAAATTTTGGTTGAAATCGGATGAAAAATAGCAAAGTTCGTTTCTGAAAGGGGGCCCCCTTAAGAGAATTCAAGACTTCAAAAGACTTCACGAGAGGGTGGGGTGCGGGGATGTGGGTGTGTTTAGGGTAGTGATTCGAAAATGAATCTATCAAATAGCTAGCAAGACCGGTTTTGATAAATGCTCAAAGAAATCTTATCAATTGCTTTTTGATTAAAGTATAATGTCTCCTACTGCAAAAGTCATAGTCAGAAGTTTTTGAGAAAACTCCAAAGCTAATAACAGTTACAATATTATATCATTGGGTAAGTGCAAGTAAAGCAAATACCTAACGAAATTTTAAAGAGATTCTCCCATAGTTGGGTGTGTATAAGGTAGTGATTCGAAAATGAATCTATCAAATAGCTAGCAAGACCGGTTTCGATAAATGTTTAAAGAAATCTTATCAATTGCGAGTGTGGGTGTGGGTGTGTATACAAATGAATTTCATTTAATAGCACAAGCGATACTTAAGACTGGTTTCGACCTTGCTTAAGGGTCGTCATCAGGTAAGTTCGGCTATTAAATTTTTATTGAGAAAGATTATTATTATTAATCTAAAACGAAAGAAATCGTACTAAGATAATTGTTTTCGTTTCTCTTTAGTTTTTCTTCTTGCATGTTGTTATTGTTGTTGAACAATTGACATTTTTGTATAAATATATGAGAAAATTTTTCCTGTCTATCTAGCTTACAAAGAAATATGATTATAATATTTCATTGGAATAGGAAATAACATCATGTTTATAAAAAGAATTGTTATGTAATTTACTAGACGAAATGGAAATTTCAATCTTTATTTATCTGAGATGTTATATGTAGTAATTACGATCAATTCAAGGAAATATGAATAGTTAGACCTCAGAATTTGTTCTAATATAAGTTACTACGACTGGAAAAAAAACTGTAAAGCTGGGAAGAAGACTGTGATTGTGAAGGAATTTCTACTGATCCGAACTAGTTCATAGGAAAAAGTCATATTACTATCAGGAGATAGGAACTGATTTGAATATTTGTATAAAAAATTGGGAAAATATACTAAAAGAAAATTAAGGATGATGATAATGCTTCATCAAATATATCTACAGCTACATATATTTACGTAATAAATACAAAAACAACAAGTTTATAATACAATATCTTTATCATTAATGAAAAATGTTCTAATTGCATAAATTTTATTGCTGTTGTTGCTGCTGTTGAACTTGTTCGACAACGACGTGTTCCTGTTTCGAAAAATTAAATAAGAACGATTTATTCAAATAGTCTATAAGTAGAATATATTTCTAGGATCAAAAGTACTTCAACATTCGATCACTAATCTTTAGATCAGATGAATTTCTTACCTGTATCTTATTATTTTTTGTCATTGTTTTGGCACCTGATGACTTGATTGTTGCTGTCTTGATATCATTGGTCCATGAGGATTGGCGTTACGGAGCACGCGTCGCTGCAGTACGTTTCATGACGTCCTTGAACAACTTCGTTTGTACTTGACGAACCATTATATATCTTGAACGACACAAATATAGAAATGTATGTGTTTATCACGCACTAATTTTATCAAATGAATGTGTCGATTTATAAGTTTATTTCTCCTTTTTTTTTCTTCTTTTTCTTATAATTTCTTCTCGGATTTTTGATATCTAGAATACACGTGATTATATAAATATTGACAGGTTAAATATCGACCGCAAAAAAAATATTAAACAAAAAAAAACTAGGTATTTGCAGCATTTTTCTTCGAACTGGAAGAACAGAACGGACAAATATACGTCCGGCTTAGGAATTTTCTTAGTGTTAGGTTAATGTTGTAGAATTTTTCCTTTGACAATCCCGTTTGTCTCTGTATAGTATAGCTTTGAAGTGGACGAAATAAATGTCACGCATATTCTGTGCTGTGGAGATGAGTTTGGATAGGTTTGTACGTGAAAATATAAGTTTTGTTTGCTATTGTGATTAGTTTTCCCTTATATTGAGTGTGGATATATATGTTTTAGGTGAAGAAATCGAGTATTTGTTTTTGAAGTTGTTGTATAGTTTAAGGTTTCTGAAACGATATGTGGCGTTGATGGTCGTACTCCTTGGTTTGTAGGATAGATAAGGTAAGTGAATAGAACCTTGGCTCTATTGTGAGTAAAGTGTTTTCAATTATCTTGGTTATGTTTGCCAATTTTTATGTATTTGAATTTTTGCTGGTCGTTGGCAAGTTAAAAATTATCGCATAATATGGATTTCCAGTTGAAGTGGACACGATATGTACAACAGTAGAAAAGATTTGTTTGAGTCTGGTATGTATCTGAAATAAAAGAAACTAATAACTAGTTGATGAGTGTTAGTATGGATTGAGAAGAAATTTTTATAATAATGAAAAGCAGAACGAACACTACTTGAATTTCAAATAATCGATGAACAAGAACAATATATTAAGTTAGTCTGTTAAAAATAGGAAAAAGAGATAGTTTTTAATGAGAGAATGTATTGATAAATAGCATAATTTGTTCAGCTCGTTGTTTAATATTAAGTAGACGAGCTTCAATAATGTTGCGCACAGGACTGAGAAATGGTTGAAGAAGAGTTGTTGAAACACTTTGATCAGAATGACTAGTAGTATTACAGTCGAATCCAAACGTGTTTATGTGTTCTGTAGCGCTGTTATCATGTATCATTCCTTGATTTGAAGTTTGTTTGGTCAATAATAACGAATTCTTTTTTAGAATAATTGCTCGTTGGTATGATTTAGCAGTTATTCGCCAAAGGTTCTGAACAGAACGGATCTAGAAGAAACAAAAAGAGTAAAAATATTGTCGTAAGTATCGTACAAAACCTGTTCATCATTTGGATTACAATCATAGAATGATTTGACGAGATGGACTTCATTGATGTCGAAGTTTAGCATAATTTTCTTATGTTCAAAATAATTCAGGCATTTTTCAAAATCTTTCCGGACGAGAATACTAAGAGCATGATCAATGATATTCATTGATTCGTCAAGAGACTTTTTATTTTGTTTTACTGCACAAGGAGGACTTTGTTGTAAATGAACCTTCAAGTTAGCTTCTACTTGTTGTAGTTTGTTATCGATCAGTCTTTGTCGATGTTGAATGTTGTGTTCTGTTCGAGGATAATCCCAGTTAATAAAATTTCGTTTCGTTATATCTTTAGATATTTGAGATAACTATCTTACAGTAGGCATTGCTACATCGGCAACAGGTTTCCAATAATCTTCTTCAATTTTCAATTCTGATAAAGTACACATAAGTAGACCACGATGTCGAATAAAATGTAACATTGCTGTATTCATTAACAATTGCCGAATCATTGCACACTGACTAGGAATACTTTTTGATAGTCGATGTATGAATACATTGTCAGGCATTTTTCCAGAATTTGGTAGAGTCCGTGATGAATTCTTCCAATTATCAATGGACAAATGACGCTTGTTCATATTCGTATGATGCCTACTATTATTTGAGAAACGCCATGGTTTTTTTTTTGTCTTTTGTGCACGTTGTAATAACGGTGTTTGAGATTTGAAAGTCGTCATTCAGTTTTCTTGAATACTACGACGTTAATCAAGGCACGTGAATTAATAGAAGATGTTGTCTTGGGTGTGGGTGTCGGTGTGGGTGTGGGTGTGGGTGTAAGAAGAGAACAACACCCACACCCACACACCCACACCCACACACCACACCCACACCCACACCCACACTCACAGCCACAGCCACAGCCACAGCCACACCCACCCACACTCACAGCCACAGCCACACCCTCGATGAAGATTTTCGCTTTGAATTAGTCATTCTATTATCAAGATGAAGAACCGATCAGAAAAAAGCAGAAAATTCATTACATTGAGCAGAAATACATCGAAAACCGATGAAACTTGAACACAGTAGTCTGGGTCGTTAATTTGCGGCTGTTTCCAGTCGAGGTAAAACAAGAAGTTAGCTGGACATACTTTCCCTAAGTCTCACCGATTTCTAATGTCTTTCTCCTCCATCTGACTCCTAAGTATTTTGTGAACTAGGCACTATAAGAAGTAGATGATTTCGTTAATCTGATGATCATAGCTTACTAACAGTGAACCATCATTGAAAAAAAGTTCAAGAGATGTGTCCACTGAAGAACAAAAACAATTCAAGTATCAGCTTACTAGCTGATACAGATATTAAAGTTAACTTAATAATGTTACAGATCACGATAGATAGATTGCAAAGTAACTGCTGATATGTAAAGGATAGATGTGAACGTATTTCTCAAACTAACTCAAGTCAACACGTATTTTTCTTTTAAATTTTACTTTGAATGATTTACATACTTAGAAAAACATAACATGAATAAATGACATAGTCGAATAAATCACTTTTCAATAAGAGTATATTTAAATGGACGCAAAATGCGTAGTAGTATAAACGAAATATTCGATTGAGTACTCGTATATAATTTTTCTTTACCTGTACTAAACTATTATTACAGCATCGCCAACTGTCAAATCGCTTTTAAATTCGGGCTCTTTCCAACACGTACACCCTAGTGAGCTATGAAAAGTCCCAAAAAACTAGATCCCCTTAGCTCTTCGCAGTAGAATTATAGGCATTTTTCTGAGATTTTAGCCTCTAGCATGACA